TTTAGTACTTATCCGCAGGTCTCTTCTCTCGTCCATCTAATGGCTTGGTTTACGTTGTCGACCGTTGAAGAGAGAGAGAGAGAAGAGAGAAGAGAGGAGAGAGAGAGAGAGAGAGAGAGAGGGAAAAGCCTAAGGATGGCTACACAAGAGAAGTTTATCGAGACAAAAGCTTTTTGTCCGAACCTACCTGCATCAAAGAATATATAAAATAGATGCTTTTGAAAATAATGTTTTTAATCATTTTCTTTTCGTAATAGTTAAATTTATTATTTCTTGAGAAAATTTACTATTATGAGTTTTAATACTTATTTTTTTGTGACACTGTTATTCTATTTAAAAAAATATCATTTTTCTGAGATTTTTTTCATAATAGCTGGATTAGTTTCATAATAATACTATATTGCTCATATAGAATGTTAATTATTAAATGTCACATAACGTCTAAGATTTTTTTTATTAAAATCTTATTCATCTAACCGAATAAATAACCTTTAATTAATATATATTTTATTTTTTTAATTTCAACATGAGTAAACTGTAAATGAATAGAGAGATATTAATTAACATAGTCTACAGCGCTGAGAACAATTTAAGACGTTATGAATAATAATTTTTTGAAATAATATTTTACTTTTATTTAAAAAAAATATATATAAAGCTCACTTGTCAAAACAATATAAATGTAACACATATGAACAAAAGAGGTAGAAGGAACATACAGTACATTAAATTGCGTTTTGTCACTTTATTTTATGCAACTAGTTTAATCGTATATAATTATAATTAGAATATAAATTGTTCAACTTGCAAATGTATAACCATTAGCATGTAACTATTTTTATATCTACCGGAACAAGTAACAACATTGATAATGACCTAATTGTTTCGTCGAAACGTCTATTTTATTTTATTTTATTTGAAATATGATTATGTTTTAGCAACTGTAATTCGGTTTTTATTCATATATCCTTGTGTTACATTTACATTGTTTTTATTTTAAACTATGTAGTCTTTCACTGTAAAGTCACTCACAAAAAAGTAAATATTAAGACTTGATCACTTCTATGCACGTTGTTTATTTGTGTGCATCGTTTGATAAATTGTTGCGAATATAGTTCGATAAAACTATTGGTAAACTACACGACAAATTTTTTGGAGAGACCGTATTGTCTAATACTACGCAATGGCCAATTAAAATACATTACTGCTCTAACGAGCCGAATGAGATGCATAAGTTACGCATGCTCAATTGATAATGACGTTTCATGCGTGTGTGCGAACATCCGCGAGCAGCAATTCTCGCCTCTTTCTTTCTCTCTTTTTCTCATTTATTTAGCAATTTTAGGAAAAACGTGCATGTACAGAATATTCGTGTGTTCTTATCAGGACAATTTAAATTTCTGACATAATTAACATGTGTGAAAAGGATAGGTAATTATCTCTTCATAAAGTGTGTTCCTCCGAAAATAGATAATTAGTAAAATGTTAATGAAACTCTGTGCATGAAAAAAAAAAAGCATATTAATAAATATTTTAAAATATAGATTTTATAATAAATATAATTATCTTTTAAAGTTAATAACGCGTAACGCAAAATTAATACAATAATTTAAGTAATCTTCAAATATACTAAATTATGATATGAAAGATGACATATTAAAAGTTTGTTTAAATAAATAAACTTTATGTAGAAATAGATAATGAATTTTATAACGCCGATTTTTTTAAACAATTGATGAATGCCATCTAAAATTTGTAAAAGATACAAATATACTAATCATATTTTCAACTCATTCTGATCATTCATACGATCATTCATATTTTTTTCATGTCATCGACAAAACATAAATTATGTACTCCAACTTATATATACTTTTCTTCTATAATTTTCTTTCAAATTTCTTTTTTATACTTTTTTAAAAATTTTTATAAGATTTCTACGTATTTCTATCTTCGGCTTTACCAGACTTTATTAATTTTTAAAAAGGTCCATTCCCGCGCGCGTTGTCATAAAAATAAGATCGCTGTTTGTCAGGACATGCGACATGATCTGACAAATCCTGATTTAATATACGTACATTAATTGTCTGAAGGAATATTCCGCCAGGAGCATTGAAAAAAGAGAAATCCTCGCGATAAATCTAATCAAGCAACATCGATCAGAACCTTACGTTCCGTCGTTGGCTCCAGAGTCGAAACAGAGTGCTCCGACAAACGTGTTCAAGGATGCCGTCGACGATTGCCTCTTGACAACAGCATCGTTATCCCGGCGGGAATATACGTAACGCGCACGTATATCTACTACGTGCGTATGCGCGTAAATACGTCGTATCGGAATTCACGCATTTACTCGCTATTTTTTTTTCGTCCGAATTCACTTTCCTCGCATCTTCCAGAACCACGGAAACATCGTGCTGTGCGTGTTCAACCACCACCCTACGTTACGCGTGCGTTACGTTTTGCGCACCGCCCGGCACACACACACATACACATGCACACACGCGCACACACACGCACGCGCACACACACACACATACAACACAGCGGCACACACAGTAGAGACACCGTCGAATACGCGATACGTCGTCGAAACGATGAAATCCACGTCGTTTCGATCGGAGAGCCTCGTCCGAGTCGCGGACGGATCTTTCGCAAGATCAGCGCTCCGCCCGTTCGCGCAAGGGATGCAGATTGCAGAGTCAGATGTCCTGCACCCGGACAGGATCACCGCCACGCTCGCGAGATTGCGAGAGAGACTCGCTCGCACGCCTTCAATTTTCCCGGTACGACGGTTTTTTTTTTCTACTGGGAAACGCTTTCCCGGCGAAGATCACTCACGATGGACTCGTTATAATACCATCGTTTCCCGGCGCGTTGCATTGAGATGTATCGGCGGGTCCTCGCGCCGTGTGTGTGCGATACGTTGCAGGCGGCCTGTGCTGAGCAGTTCTGAGCATGCGAAATGTCGCCTGCCACCCCCGCCCGGTGGTCACGTGGTCCCGTTCGTTCGGCTCCTCTTCGTCGCACCTTTCCACTAGCCTTCTTTCTTTCTCTCATTTTTGTCCTCTTCGTCTCGTCCAAGCTCTCTTTGTTCCACGCTCTTGCTTGCGATGTTCCATCGTCCTTTAACCTCTGACTTTCTCTATTATCCTTATCATTCTCTCTTTCCGTTTTCTTCTTTCTTTTTCAAAATGTTTATATACATATTGTTATATGCATAAATTATTGCTTATGCATGTGAATAAAATAATTCCTCCTCCAGGATGAGAAATTATATTTCCTTCTCTTAATCATTTATCAATCATTTTGTTTTACGTTTTCCTTTCTTTTTTATTATTTATCTATTATTTATTTTTAAAAATTATCTGTACGCAATAATAATAAATAATACATATTTATTTGTTTAAGATCGCAATTAATCGCAATTCTCTCTTGCGCATTCCCTTTTTCCTTCTTTGTCTCATTCATTTTTCATCTCGTTCTTACTAGCACAGCGTGGCGGGCGCATACAGGTCGTTCGTTAATTAGAACGAGAGGATATAACGAGTTGCGCGTGTGATGGGTGATGGCGCGAGAGATAAGGAAAGAGGATGAGACGACGATGACGACGCGTGAGAAGGATAGAGACAAAAAGAGACGAGAGAGAAAGAGAGAGAGAGAGAGAGAGAGATTCTGATTGTGATCGAGTTAATGTGAGTAGAGGAAGAGAGGTATCTACCCCCTATATTCGAATAATTGTCACTGTTTATTTGTATCTACAAATCGTTCGGCAATAAATGCTCCTCTCTGACGGGACAAGTTTTCAGAGAAGACACCGAAAAGAATCTATGGGCGATCTTGATAAAAATCGTAGGACGCATGTTTTAGAATCTCATGAATTAGTGAAAAGAATAAAAAAGAGCATCGCTCGCGAGTTTTTTATATTTTAATCGTTGCAATATGCAGTTTACATATAAAATATCGTTCCCTTTGATATTAAATTGAACTATCGCGCTAACTATATAGATTTTATTCTGTTCCCAAATAAATTAGCATTAAATAAAAAGAGAGAGGCGCGAATATATAACAGTTTAATGATATTTTTTTAACTTTATTAACTTTTCTTGTGTGAGATAATTTTCGAATTAATAATTGATCTCTTGTTTTAAGGGTGAGAAAGAAAGAAAGTAAGAAAGAAAGAGAGAGAAAGTTGCGACAATCCCACCTTTTTTTACGAGGCGACAGAGAATTCTTGACAGGAGGTCCACCTCCACGGTCCACGCCACCGGCAGTACGTCATACTACAGTGGGTTCCTGGAAGGCGAGAATGTCCCTGCGTCCTTTTTTCTCGCTTTATCGATTACGGCGCGATAAAGGCGTCGCGAGATGTCTGCTTCCTCTGTCACTCTCTGCGTGACAAAACAAATTAGGACCTTTACCATGAGTAAAATTATAGAAGGCAAAGAACGGTCGTTTACGAATATTATTAGAATATAGTTTTCTGCAACCTTTAAAATTAAGGAACTCATGCATCTCGCAGATGGATTGAGGGGAGAAACTAATCTTCAATTATGAATTAATTTAAAATTATTTGTGAAATTCTCTTTTTTCTATTGTTAATATTACACTCATATTTCTTACAAAACTTTAAGTATACTACATATATTATTTATCTATATATATTTTTTATTCTTATTTAATATATATTAAAGAAAAATTGATTATTCTATTGAAAGAATTAAAATATGAAAAGAGATAAGGGAAGTTTAAGAGAGAACTTTTTAAATCAACATTTTTAAAGATAAAAACTATAATAATTAAAGATAAAAACTTGAAATTTTGTAGTAAATGTATTTTTATTAATTTTTTAATTATTTGTTTCATATAAGACGCTATATCTTTTCGGAATAAACTTCACGCTGTAGACTTTTAAACTTGAAACCTCTTTGCGGCTAATGTAACTGTAACAGCGAGGGTGAGTCTGCATTTTTCAAGAACGATGACGAAAATGAGGAACAACATGGACGGCAATATAATTTTCTACATCCTGTACCAACATCCATTGTGCGTTTTCCACCAGCTTGATGGACTCTCAAATTTCGTTAAAAGTCTCGCTAACGTTACCATAAAAGCATCTCAAGAAACCTGCCTGTTTAAGCGCTTCACTCACGAACGTTTTGTAATTGTTTCAGAGTATCATTTCATAGAGAGTAGAGAGAGAGAGAGAGTAGAGAGAGTAGAGAGGGGAGAGAGAGAGAGAGAGAGAGAGAGAGAGAGAGAGAGAGCGCTTCTATGTGTATTCATAATATTTCGTGTGTATTTACAAATATATTTGATATATTTAATTAATATATTTAATTGTTAGAATATGCGTATATCATAAATATATCTTATTTAACACATCCTTTTTTATTAACTGTTTTATTATAATTTCCGGGAAAATTATACTCTGCTAATACAATATTATCTTCGATAATAAATCCATGTTCGTGAAATAATAATGAGCATTCGCAGGATATATGGTGATCAACATCTTAATCAGAGCTTTTGTAACGAATGACAAAAGAGAATAATACTTTTACATAATAGCTGGGGGTAAATGTGGGGATAGGGTAAGTATAGTAATTCAGTCCCTAGTTTTTGTATTTTCACAGAACGTCGCACACATGAGAATCTCTTTGTGTTTATAAGAGAGGTCATCTCATTTATCTCTTTATTAAATACTTTATTTAATACTGTTAGATTTACCGCAATTTATATTGTTATACATATATTCACATTTGTTTCACGTAAGAGCATGATACCCTACTAGAAGATTTTGTTAATCCAAGTTAGAAAATGATATTCAATATAATTTTTACGCGTAACGTTTTATATTTGGCTTAAACGTACGTAAAAGACAAACATTTGGTTCAAATTAACTAAAAACATTAAAATACTGTTTGTATATCCGATGCTATTGCAGTATCTTCTTTTAAACATGTATGTAACTCGACTACGTCTCTTTTCGAAATTTTAACGGTTTAAAAAAGCATCCGCTGAATACGAAACTGTACGTGTTACGAATCTACCATCTTCTATACTATCAGCTTCTTATAGGAATCAAATTTTCAGTATCCTCTCGAAGGAGGTTGTGACTCTATAGTATCGTCGTATTTCTCAGGACAAATACGATATACCGCTTTATTCGTGAAAGAAATATCGATTCGACGGATGTTTCGCAAGAGTCACTTGAGATAAAAGCGATGGATAATATAAAGAAAGACGTGCACTGGAGGTAGACATGGCGTGTAGTAGGTTGGCCACGACTGCACAGTTAGTGAAGAAATGGTGGAATGGTACGATATCTTTATGATATAATGAAACAGAAGCTTCACAAATTGCGAGAGAAAGAGCGAGAGAGGAAAGAGAGAAAGAAAATTCGGTCCAGTCTTTCGAGGTATGCGGGCGGCTTGTATTGTTCTTTAATATATTAATGGTACACATATGTATACCATATATTTGACCACCCAGGTACTTGGGTACAAATACTTTAGAAAAAGTGCAGGTACAAAGAGATATATACGATGTCGTGGAGTTTGTGAAATTGGTCGGAAGTATGTATAGTTAAAACATACACACACCCACGCACGCACATATATATACATTATGTATATATATATATATATGCAGCGGTAACGTTATAATTTTTACTTGTAGGATGCAGTTCTTTTCCAAGACTGCTATTTAAATTTTTATTTATTTAATGAATTATTGTTCTTGCTCAATTTCATCATTCTTAATTTTAGAAAAATTCAGAATTAAAAAAATTTTTGCTCACTTTCTTTACAAACGATTTAGTTAAAAAAATTAACTCGTTTATGTATAAATCGATATTATCTTAAAAGGAGGAAAAAAAGAGGCTCTGTCTTAATTTCTGTCAAAATTAATTTCGATATTTAAAAAAATCATCATTCTTAAGTATTTTATTTTTTTTGTTATTGTTTCATTATTATAAAAGATATAACGATGTATGTTTATTGTCTAGAACATTTATGAAAGTTTTCATAATATAACAAGTTCACACACACAATCAATGCTTCAAATATCCAGATACTTTCGCGAGGATTATACATGAATCATCATGTCAAGTTCATCATGTCAACAAAGAATCGCAAAGAGTTAATGGATATAAGTATTGACACACTGACGAACATGATGAAGATTGATGTGATGACATACATATGTTAATGTAAATATAATCTCGATAGATTTTAAAAGACGCGTATTTGAAATACGCGATATACATATACATATATATCCTGCAAAAGTGGATGACACTTGCAAAGATCCTGCAAATGAGTTTTGGGCCAAAGATAAATGAAGATAAGTAAGCGAGATATTCTCTCTCCCCCCCCCCCCTTCTGCGGTTTGTTATGTATGTGATATGGAAGATATAGATGTACGTATATACGACGAAGATATTAGTGTGAGTAGGTATGTGCGTTCTCCCTTCGTTATATAGGGTGTTCTATCATTTCGATTCAATTTCAGGTATCGAAAACAAAAGCATATTATATATCGATCGCCATTGTTTACGATTTATTGAAAAAAACATGAACTTTATTAGTAAGAGTGAAAAAATTCCATTTTTCAAGGAACAATCCGAAAATAATTATCTTATCCATACCTTTTGTTAAATTTAGTAACAGAAACGTGAAAATTAATTACATAATGAGACAGAATATTGCGTTGTTTAGTTGCATTGATAGTTCTTGGAGAAAGATGTTTGAATATGAATGACATAACGTACACACACACACACACACACACATACACACAACACACACACACACACACAAAACACTTGCGAATTTAAATAATTAATTCGTTTTATGTTTGTCACTCGGTTTCCATATCTTTCCTTTTGCTAAGGACACTCCACACTCCACGTGTATATGTATGTGCATGCACGCAGGCGCAGGCAGCTGTCACCTTACACCCATGGAGGAGGCATGGGGCTGCGGCGGCCATTCTCAACTTATCTCTAGGATCTTTGTAAACATGTCGTGAAATCCGAGTATTTAGGCAGTGGCGTAGATCGCGGGGTGGAAAGAATCTATCGGGCAGTCACAGCGAGAAATTAAAATCGAGCGATCGTCAGTAGCTCCAGTGTAATTCTGGCGAATACAAATTTTAAATGCTTTCAGATGCGCGAAAATCACCTCCACGCTTGTTGCAGCGGCAATAAGGAATTTCTCGCGAGAAACACCTATTTTTTTCTTTTTCATTTTCTATATTTTCGCAACGTAGAATTACATTACATTCGTCGTATATTATGTCTGAATTATATTATGCTTTTTATGATTTTATTGATTTTATTTTACTGATTAAGATTTTCGCTGGATGTGACATCGCCTCATGCTACATACTGCGTACTCGTGATTTCTCTGACAATTAGGATCGCAGTAACAATGTTAGTAAATGCAACGCATATCTTTCATTTGTTCCATGCTAATAAAACAAAACAAAAAACGGTGGGTTATTGTTAATCACGTCTGCATGAATACTATCTTATTGTGTAATACTCCTAATACTCATAATATGATTCTTATAGTTTATTATCTAATTGATCATTTAAGATATGCGCCAACTATATATTATAATCATTCGAGAACTATAGAAAACTAATAAAAAATTGTATCTACCAACTTTAAAATTGTCAATTACTTAAAAATA